CATGTGACCTTACAAACGAGTATTCAAAACAAACAATGCATTGTATATGTATAAATAGTAATAGTAAGCAATATGTGGCGATGGTATTGTCAAGGATGTAAATCGTGCACATCGTGGGAGACATAGTCATGTATGATTTCATGTACTGTATTTCACATCATCTCATGTCTTCGTAATAATAATAATAATAAAAATCCTGGATTCATCTAACATCAACGACAATGACAATACATTTTATATCCTTGCATCAATCTGCATTTTTTACATTATGCACAACAAAAAATATAGTTACAAGAAAAGGGGGACATCACGAAGCACTGCTTATTAATGATGTTCTCTGTTTACACTCACTAAATTGGTAATTGCCTTAATGGGCGAATCAAGATATTAATTACAAATAACATGAACGAAAATGCTTAAACAAGCATAATAAAAAAATCAAAAAAAAATCTTATTTCTTGATATTGTTCTAACAATTCCTTTTTGAGCATTTGCTTATATGTGTGGAAAGATTACAATTTTTCAGGTTATTATCAAAACTGTTCTAAATGTTAACTCTGGCACAAGATAAACACATAGCTTTTACCCCAGTTCTTATGTAAATAGTACCAACATTATGACAATGTCTTGTATTGTACTCATGGATATTACATATTTTAACAAAATAATGTTGTACACTCAGAGGTAATTGATTTTTATTTGCTTTATAAAGAACTAATACTATTCTTAATTCAATAAGATCATATATATTTGAAGTTTTTAAACTTTAAAATGGGTTACTATACTCTGCTTTTGCCATCGTTTGTTTAACTTATTTTTGTAACAAATATAAAACTGTTCAATGTTGATTTATATTGTGTTACCCCACACTTCACAGCGATATTTCTTCCCAGTTAGATGTGTCAATTGATGACGTTTTAGCATCGGGATTTTGGGGGATGCCGAATGTCTGTCAGATTTAGCTCATAATGCTAAAGATTCAAACTGCTATGCCCATTGGTTGCCTGGCAGCGAGTCTGCGGAAATAGAAGAGTTGAAGGGTCGCCTTTTAGACAAGTCATACTTCTCATTTGTAGAATTAAGGTTTGGATTTGAAGTTTTTACAGTGGAGCGTCGCAGTTCACATTTGAAATTCTACATAGTGTAGGTTATACTTACCTTACCTTACCATCATCACTACAATATCTCGTATATAAGTGTTCAAAAATATAAGTGGAGTTAGGGTGCCAGACTTGATAACAAGATAGTCCCGATATCAATTCTGACAAAGTTTCAAAGATCAAATCAGAGAGAAAAAATGGAGAAACTAGTCGAGAAAGAAGTTTTTGATGTCTGAAAAGTTCAAACAGTATTCACAATGAATATATAATTTGTAATTAGCTAATTGTGAAAAAGGAGACATATAAATAATACGTAAATCAAAGTAGAATTGACTGAAGTTTTGGAAGTAATAACCACGATCTATTCGGCGTCGTAACAAATCATTGTATTGGTGTACAAGATTTAGATTTTGAAGAATTGAAAAAATAAATACACTTTTTAAATGTTTGTTTAAATCATTATGAAAATGTGTATTGTTTTCCTGAAACAAAGAGTTATGTGTTAGCCATATTATTCTGTATATATATATATATATATATATATATATATATATATATATATATATATATATATATATATGACGTGAATATCGTACCATACGGTGATTGTATTATGTATGTTTTTAGACAATTCCAGCAAAAAATCGTTGTATGAGTTTTGTTCGTCTGACAAAATGTGAAGTACATGTAAATAAAATGTGAAGTAAATAATCCGGAATGCATTCTATGTTGATGACGTTTGATGCGCAGACCAACAAAGTACATCATTTGTTGTCAACAAATACTGTTAAATACGTCATCAAAAGTTACGTATTGACAGAATCTACAACTGAAGTGAACAGAACATGTCCTAATAATGGAAAACCGGAAATTCATCGATTTCATTTATTCATATACACTTAATGGAAATAATAACTTGACAACGGCCACGTCTTGTACGTTAGTGTTTCCATAGCTACTTGAGGTTGAAGATAGTTTGACCTCTGTACTTCCAGGAAATTGATCGAGGAATATGTCTATGTCATTTTCAGGGGTGTACATCCTTGGCAAGAATTGTCTCATACGCCACCCGTCTCCACATGTCCCTGGGGAATCATCGGCAAAACCATAGAAAACATCTCCAATTGCTACTACGGTGTTATAACTGAAAAATGGCATATTCAGTTTCTCGACCGTTTTCTCCTTTTTAACCACTTTTTTGTCAACTGTATCGACTAGGAAGGTATTACAGGAGAATGTGGGAACGTCATGTGACTTCACCAACGTTATTGTATTTCTTTCTGCAGACACCAGTAGCCGACTACACTCCGGGTCGGTTTCAGAGATACATTCGAGTGTTGACCACGTCTTCGTTGCTGAGTCATAAAATACACCATCAATGGAGAACAATTCACAACATTGAAACCAATTTCTCCGAATCAACATCAGATG